TCGTATAATTTTTTAATTCATTGAGATAGTTCACCAGGTTGGTAAAGAAAATAGTAATAGAAAAGTCTTAGTAAATCAATCCCTTACTGATATTAATAACCAGCCATTATTATTTATTAAGCATTCGTGAAATTAATTAAATACAATATAATTTATAATAAAATGTATCTGAATATCTTAATATCTCTAATTCAATATTTAAAATAGCTTCGTGATAATGTTTTTTTATTCAGCAGAGATGAAATTATTTTGTAGGGTAACTATAAATAGCTTGTTAAAAATCGGAAACTTGTTATTAGTTTATTCCTATCCGCTCTTGGCCTTTTCGTTCTATATGCCAATCAGCTTTTGTGCCAAGTAATATGGGATGTGCACTTTTTCACCCACTTTCCACTAGTTTTTTTTTTTTTTTTAGAGTAAGTGAGTGCGGCAGCGAATGCAAAAATATTTGCACTTGACTTGCGGCTGTGCTGCTGCTGCTGCTGCTATTGCAGCGGAAACGGAAACATGACACCTGCGCAGCCACACACACTCACACACACATGCAGAGCGGAAAGAGGGGGACAGGGGGTTAAGGTAAAGAGGGGGAAAAGGATAAGGGAGCCACTGCAGACAACGTTGGGCAAACAAACGCAAACCGAGTCGAGATAAACAGGAACTTATTATGCGAACTCATGCAAGATGAGGTGAGTGGAAGGGGGAGAGGTGGGCGGTGGGCGGTGGGTGGTGAATAAGTGGGTGGTGGAAGGATGGGTGGTGCAACTGCAACTGGGTTCGGTTTGTGCTTTGTGCTCTATCTGAAACTACACGGACAACAATGGCAATCCCGGACAACAAATGCCCGCAAATGCCCTGCTGCCGTTGTTGTCCTCTTGTTTATTGTTATGTTTGCCAATTGCCAGACCACAGATGCCACGCCCTTTCCCTCGTACCTCCTCCCGCTCCCCCCGTTGCCCCTCAGCTTCCGCCGCCCCCACTAAATGAGGCATGTGTTTTCACACCTTGACCCCAGCAGGTGGCATCGAAATAAAAACCAAAACAAAACCACAAAAAGCGATGAGGCAAATAACTCGAAGAGACGAGTTCTCAGTAGGGAAAATCAGTGATTTAACCAACAAGTGTTGCTCTTATATTTTTGCTTAGCTCTAATTATTAATTTTGGAAAAAAGACAAGCAAAACATAGTAGGTAAAAGAAAATTAGATTGAATGTATATTTTTATGAGACATTTTGAGAACTAAAATACTAGATTATTTATTTTAATTATTGCTTTACTTAAAAATTTTTTTTTTTTCAATACATAAAAATCTTAATTTAAATTACGCTTATTTTGCTGATATTGCGTTTCTTAGTGTCAACTTATTTTAAAATAGTTTTTAACGTTATTTAGAACTCTAGACTCAAAATTACAAGCTTAACCGGAAAAAACATGTTGCTTATTAATAAGCGGATATATATTTTACTAATACGTAATACATCACTAAATAGTAGATGCTCGATAATTTTGTTTATTCAAATTATTTTAAGCCCCGATAAAAATAAAATCCTTGTGCTAAAAAAACAATCACGGATTAATTGTCACATAAAATAGCACAAAAATGGTTGTCCTTGAAATGAAACCAAATAAATAACATTTGAAATATGTTTCGTAAGCTAATCACCAGATGAATAAATCTCGGTTATCTGTTAAATCCGCCATTCCGCTTGGTCTAGCATGCACTGCTTGCGCATCCGCTCACCCTGTTGGGCAAGCAGTTGCGAGAGAAAAAAGAGTTGCCTGCATTGGGGCGCTGTTCGCGATTTATTTTGTTAGAACTTTGTTTGTTTTTCGCCTAACAGCTGTCGCATCATCAACACAAACCGTTTTGTTTGTCGCACAAATAATTTAGACATTTACGTGAAAATTCAGCGCCAGAAGCTGATAATAAAGGGCCGAAAAAAAGCGGAGGATAAAAAAACGAGGCCAAAGGACAAGGGACAAGGGACAAGGGACAAGGGAGAGCGAGAAAAATTGAGGGAAAAGTTTCGGCAAATTAAAGCCAAACAAAACGTCAGATGCCAGCTGCACATGAATATATATTAGACTTAATGCATTTCGTCAACATTTTGCTCACAATGTGAGAAAGATGCAAACGATGCCAGAGACATAAAACGCAGAACCCCAAAAGAATCTGAATGCGAATGCAAATCCACTCGAGTGTAACGGGAGAAAAGATGAAAATGGCAATGGGGGACTGGGGATGGGGATGGAAATGGGAACAAGAAATAAAAAGGAAGCCATAAACAGACAAAGTGAGTGTCGGCAGGGGAGAAGTGGAATACCCGGAAGAAAAGCCAAAGAAAAAGCGAAGCAAACCCAAGCAAATTTCGATTGAAATAAATTAGTTAAACTAAAGAGAATGCTGCCCCTTTGAATTTTTGAAACCGTATAAAACTTACTACTCCTGCGTATTTTCTGATATTTTTAATTTGTCATAAGCTACTTTGTTTGCCTTCAGATTTTTCGTTTTTGAATAAATGGCAGCAGGCAGCAAAATAAAACGAAACAAAACAGAACAGAACCGAACAGAAGAGAAACAAAATATGAACGGTGGACTTTGGCTCTCCAGTTTCGGCTTAAATGAAAATGAAAATGCATTTGCACACGTGTGTGTGGCGTAAGCCAGCGAGCAAATTAAAAACTAACGCCAAAGGCAACGACAACTGCAGGCCGTCGTCTGCAAAGCAAAACGCAGCAACCACCCGTCGACCCATCCACCCACCTCCTCCCCCTCCCCCCTTTTTCCCACCCACCCATGCATTTTTTAACCCATTCCACCCTTCACCCCTTTCTCCCCCCTTTAACCTCCGCCCTTCAACCTCCACCAGTGACCCATTGTTGCTGGGCGGCAACCTGCTTCTAGGAAAATTCCCATCCCCCTTCGCCTCCGCCGAATTTCCCCCTTCCCCAGTTTTCATGCATTTTTAAGCAGCCATTTGTCAAGCGCGTGAGCTCCACTCGCCCAAAATTTCCCTGTGTTCGTACCCCACTGCAGCTGCACTTGAAGGAAAACTTAAATGTTCGTTTTGGATAGGTTGGAAAATTTAAGAAAAGTACTTCTGATGGAACGGAAGTCAGTAGACAAAATCCCTTTTTTAATTTGGATCTATTAATTTCCGAAATGTTAATGCATTTATAAGTTGGATACTTTTTATACAAAAATACAAAACAAGTAGGACAGAAATAACATAGAGATTCAGTAAATAATTGAACAATTTCTAAAATATAAGCATACTTTTCCAGTGCACTGCGCTGAATATGTTTAAGACCACAAAATTTTTTACCATGAAAAGAAAAACAGAAATATTACAAATATTTTCCTTTATGCCAGCAAAATGTAGGTTACATTTTATAACGAACTTCCTTTTATCAACTAACATAGTGTACAATCAAAAAATTTGTTTCTAGCAAGTGGACTTATTTGATCCGCTTTAGAAAGGAAATTATTATTCCCGAAAACTCACTCTGTTTTTATTTATTTTTTGGGACTGCTCCAACAAAAAGAAGCCCCCAAATGTTTGAGGTGCAGTTAAAAGTAGTCTTTGTGTGCGTGTGAGAGGTTAAAACTTTTAATTAACTAAAATTGAGGTGCCTCAGCCACAAAGAGCTCTTTTTTTTCTGCTTGCCGCTAACCATTGAAGGAAAACCGCGCCGACGAAGAAGTCAAAGTCAGAAGGAGAGAAAAAAGCCCAAGCGCCTTTTCTTTTTTTTTTTCGAGGAAACCTCCCCGCGGCCACTGATAACCCCCTTGACACCCCATCCTGACCCCCCAAACCCCCCTCTACGTCCATGGAATAAAAAGAACAGAAAACGAAGCGAAAACTTTCGACAGGCAAAGTACAAGATACTTAAGGCGACTGGCAAGTCAATTCAAACACTTCGAGCGACTCAACAGATCAAAATCGCGTGTGTCGCTTTTTTTGGGAAGGAGGAGGGAATGAGTGCGGAGGGAGGGGCTTTTTGGGTTTTGGAAAGGACTTTCAAGGGGTTCGCCAAGGGGGCAGCTAGGGCTCTTTGTGGCAATAGCGAATAGAGTGACTAGGACATGCCCCAAAGGCAACCAACGTACCAAGTACCAAAGTTCCAAAGTACGAGTATTCATGCTGCGGAGCTTGTGGATTTGTTGCACATCAGACAGCTGCATCGGCAAATTTAAAAGACCTAATATTCTGAATTCTGTATTCTGTATTCTGTGAGCTCTGCCTTCGGGCTCCGCAAAAAGAACTGAAGAGTCCTTTGCCGGCGGTTCCTTAAAAGTGTTTGCAATGTGCACATACGCACATACGAGAGAAGGCCAAACTTACCAAAAGACATTAGTCAAGGCTTTGCAATTGAGGATAAATACAAAGCGTATTGCTCGGGGCAACCATAAACAAATGAACAAATCGAACTTGTCTTATGAGCAAAAATTTTAGGTTACTATTGCTTGAAGCATCAACTTACAGAATATTTTATTTATCTTATTTCGTATTGATCCTTGACGGGGTTAAAATTAAATGTAACTACAAACAGAAAATAAGCAAAAGAGTTAGGTTGAAAGCCAAGGTAACTCTTACAATGTAATTTCTATCATGAGTGGGGTTTTTATTTACAAAATCAATTAAATCTACAAGCAAACTAAAACATTGAAAATGGGTATAAATATATAATAAAATAATTAAGGGTTTTCTTGAAAGTGTGAGCACCTTAACTTTCTGTTTAAAACGCATTGAACTTCAAAGTTCAGACCAACACTTTCTCTTGAAAGATCAATAAAAATACACACAGAATTCTAAGAGAAGCCAGTTTAAAATGCCAATCAATCACGATTATTTTCACGTATCAACATTAAAAACCTAATGACATGTACACATCTATATTAAACTATGTATATAAAATACACCAAGCTCAGATTTATTCCCTTGATCAACATTTTAAGTTTATCTGTTACCCCTTCTTAAATCTTCCTTTTAAACTTGCAGATTCGGAACTGGAGGAGTTCGAGACGCCGGCACGGTACAGGCCCGACTCGCTAAGTGCGCTGAGCCGCGCCACGCGCTTCACGGAGGACGAGATCAAACGAATTTACCGGGGATTTAAGGCTGAGTGCCCGACGGGCGTCGTCAAGGAGGACACCTTCAAAGTGATCTACTCGCAGTTCTTTCCACAGGGAGGTTCGTGCGGTACAGTATACTTTGTTTCGTTAACCCTTCTGACTTGACTAGTGATTACTAACGCCTGCCTTACTGTATTGTTGCTCTTACCTGCATCTGCGCCATTTCAATTGCATAGCGATATCGATACGATAGCGATATTGTTACCGATACCGATACCGATACCGATAGCTGTGTAGCTGTAGCGATAGCGATAGACAACTATCGGTTTCACACGCTAACCAAACAGTACAGTCACCACCAACACATCGTGTAGTTCGAGTTGCAACATCCCGATCTCGATATCGATCTAGATGTGTGTTCTGCGTTCCAGTTCCGTGTCAAACTAACCTAGCATTAAATGTTGATTTTACTACTTACCTACTTAGTACTTAGTGCTGTATTGTGTTTGTGTTGGTGTTGCTTGATTACGAGAATGTGTGTGTGTGTGTGAGAGCCTTCATCACGGGGTTTCACCGTTTGCAATATTTTGAGTTGGGTCTTGACAACGGGCCTAATTTGTTTTATCTTAATTTTCATTGGTAAACGCCTTCCTTTTTACACAGAATCAATGAGACACAATCTAATAAATACTCGTATTTTTTGAACAATTAGAAATATTATTTTTATTGGAGGAAAAATTAGTTCCAACGAAACAAATAATTATTTAATACACATAAAATTTGCCAAATGGTATAAATGATTTAATTTCGTAATTTTCATGTTTGAAAAAAATGTAATAATCTGATTAAGCAAATATATAGGCAATGCAATTCCAACCAAGAAAAAAAGCATGCCCTTAAAAAACTGGAAACTAGCACTCGCCTCATAGCACTAAGTACATCCGATAAATCGGTTAATTTAGCAGACAGAGCCATTAAGAGGGGCCATTAAAGGCTACAAAGTTCTGTCCTCGGAATCCTCTATTCTGATCTGCAAATTGAAATAGCAAAATGCCAAATTGCACGAAATTATTGTGCTAAATAACCGTCGTTAGGGAGGCCGCATAATGACAAAGGCAACGAGTTCCGCTTTTTGGATGTGTGTGTGTGTGGCTGATGTTTCCGGTTAACGGTCCTGCATTCGGGGGCAAAGGGATTTGGATTGTGGGTTGGGATTGGGGCTTGGGGCTTGGAGCTTCAGTGCTTTGGATAAGTGGAAACTGAAACTGTGATTGCAGCTGTGGTGTTGAGAACGACATTTATGGCAGCCGCTGATAACAATTGTGAATGTAGTTTGATCCAAAGGATTAGATTGCTAATCATTAAATTCACCTGAGCTTAACTTTATTAAAAGCCTTGTTAAATTTTATAGGTGCAATTTGCAATTGGTAATGCAAAAACAACCATGTTTATACGGGAATTTTCAAACGGAATGTTATAATTTGCCGATTGAGTCCAAATTGATATGACTATCTTTTGTTAAAGGTGAAAGCAATATTACAATTTTCTATGCAACTTTATAAACAATTAACCCACTTTCAGCTGCAATTTATTTATTAACGCCAACGCGTTATTTAAAATGTCTTTTTGTGCAAGTATAGTTCTGCTTTAAAAATGAAATTGAGTTCGTTTCTTTTCCTGCTCGGCGTTGCCACCTAATTTATTCAGGGTTAAGTTGGTTGCGCCTGAATTCACAGTGAACTTTCTTCGGTAAGTAAAAGTTCCCCAAACTGATTGCATAAAATGGGCATCGAGTGAGCACAGTAAGTGGCGAAGTTTTCCTGAAATTTCCATTGGTTTTTCCGAACCAGTTAAAGGGGAAATGTATACCAACGAGTGCATATCGTTCCTTTCACTTAGCACCAATCGATGTGGGTTAAAAAGGCGAAAGCGGAACCGGAAAAGTGGAATTCGAATTCGAATGGAAATGGAAATGAGAATGAGAACGAGAACGAGAACGAGAGTTGCGATTAGCAGAGGACCGCAAAACAAATGGCAATTGACTGGAGATTTCCCACCGACCCAAACACTTAGTCCCTTCCTTGTGGAAAGTTTAAAAAAAAAAAAAAAAAAAGTCATCTCGAGGCGAGAGTTGCTGATGATGATCATCGGGGAGAGTCAGATAATGATGATGGGGATTCGGACTCGGATTGGGAATGGATATAGGAGTGGGACTAGGAACGAGGAGCAAGGATTCGAGGATTCGAGAATTCGAGGATGGGGATGCTAATGACGAGGTTGGGTTTATATTCAGGATGGCCAAAAGGCGACTCTTTGTTTGGCCGGGCCGAGCTGGCCCTTGGCTTCTGAAAATATGAAATGCAGAAAGCAAATTAGCAAAAAAGCATAAAAAGCAAAATCATGTTTCACAAGTCGCGGTCGCGGAGGGGGCGTGGCAGCCAAGCCGCCCACTTGACCTCGTTTGAACAACAAGTGAAATTTTTTCTGCATATTTTTTTTTTCGGTTTGTTTTTTTTCGCCCCCCGTGCTCTTTGCTTGTGCACAATTTACATTTACATCTGCGAAAGCTGAAGCGAAAGCTGAAACTGAAGATGAGACCGAGGATAAAAGGGGATGGATTCTTTCAGTGGCCGGTAACTAACTGAATTTCTGATAGATTACTGCCGGCGAGGGTCCGTTGCGGGTTGGGAATTCGGTGCAGAGCTCGGGATAAGGGTTCCTTGCCAAACAGAAATGTCAAAGAAGCGAAAAAAAGAAGCTGGGAAGGGTTGATTACTTACCGAAAAATATTATGTCCATGTTGCGGCTAATTTCGTTAAAAGCAAAATTAGACTTCTTTCTATTAGATTAAATGCGACAAATCTGGGCATTCAGCTTTGCTTGTTCTTAAGCAATTTAAAAGGGGTTAATTTGGAACGAGGGGTGTCCTTAGGTAAGAGATATGTTTTTTGATATTACAATAAATTTCCAAATTCTGTTTTGAAGCTTCTGCAAATTGCACACAAACCTTATAGATTACCAACTTGGCAAACTAGCTAAGGCTTCTCAGCTTTCTCTCTGCGGAAAATTCCCAATAATTCCCTGTGAATGCTACAAATTGCTGCGAGAATTCATTCGCACCTCAGCAGCCGGCCAGACATGGGCCATAAATTGTGTTTAGGCCACGTTCGTACTGCCGCCGAGCAAATCCAGCGGCGGAAAAGTTATTGCTACACATGTTGGGACACTGAATTATCATAATAAACTTGTTTTGACTAGCGACAATGGTGGATAGCATTCGCCCATTCGACACACAGACAGTCACACAGACAGACAGACAGACAGACAAAAAGAAACGGAAACGGAAATAAGAAATTGCCAGTAAACAAGGGGCTTACTTACCCCCCTTTCTCCGTTTTCCTTTTCCCCCGCAGGACGTCTCTTATTCTCCATCATGTCGGCCGTTATCTGATGAAAAATAAATAATGAAATCATTTTTTATTTTGATAAGCTGCTTTCCACACACACACACACACACACATACAAATACACACACGCATGCGGCAGAGAAAAAAATCCTCATCAAAGTTGGTGATTTATCACTTTGGCCGCACCCCTCGTTTTTTCCTTTTTTGTTTGGTTGTTGTTTTGTTTTCGCGCCGCTTCTTTTGGCAAATTTCTGCGCAAATTTTATAACAATTTTTACATGGCACATTTGCAGTCATTTTTGATTTGGCACAGCGCAAAAAAATAAAAAAAACCAAAAAAGCCGAGGAGCAGATGCCATCTTTGCCATTGAGCTTTGACCTTGTGGGCGTGGCACCCTGCGTTATGCGTCATAAAAACACATTAAGCATCAAACGGCGACAATAAATTTGGACAAATAAATGTGTACACCCGCGTACGTGGGTACAGTGCGATTCGCGGCCTTAAGTCGTTCAGAAGCAGCAGAATTTTAAAGTTCAAATGTCGGCATTTTTTCGTTCGCAGAGTGTTGGGAATTTTCAGCGAATAGAGCTTAAATTGATAATATATAACAATGCGTTTGAAAATGTGAAACAGCAAGGCAATAAAACAAGAGAGCTTACGGCATTGATTAAAATAGGACAGGGCAACAAAATTGGAAAAAAAAAAAACAAAGAATTAAAATGTTCCTTTGTATCTGGATTTCAAATTTTTTCAGAATTTCAATTTCATTTGTTCATTAAACAAAAATCATCAGAAACTAAATGAAAAAAGTTTTGTTTTTTTCTTTAGGTATTTAACTCTATGTTTCATTCTTTCATTTTTTAAATCAATTAATATTTGAATAAGCTAGTCCTAAAGAAAATCTATAACGATTTTTTTGATTATTAATAAAAAATTAAATGTGGAAAACCTAACCAATAAATATACTTTATTTCAATCTATTGACTTTATTTCAAGCTAAAGCTTACATTTAATTCAATTATGTCACTAAAAGAAGGTGCCTATTAAACATAGTATGTTGTCCAATGAAAGAAAGTGGCCAACGCTTTACGCCAACCTCTTGGCAAAAGTTTGAAGACTATTCCGAAATTGAGTTATTGACTGCAAACCGTAAATGCAACAAAATTCGTCAGTGGCATGAACTTTTGCTTTATGACCCCGCGTTCGAAGAAAGACTTTTCGGGGCACCGAATGGCATTTGATGTGGCTTTATGAACTGACGGCGACGTCCTGCCAAAGAGGTGTAAACGTTGTAAGCGCATAAGCCCAAAAAAACTTTGGCACCGGGCCATAAACATAAACGCGAATCGTAAAAAGTAGCCGAGCGAGTGAGAGCGAGAGCAATAATCAAAATGTTATGTGATGGCCAGATAAAGAAATTGCTCTGACAGCTCGAATGGCAACAGAGACACTAAGTGCGCTAAGTGCCCTTGGCGAAAGGCGAAAGTCGGAAGGCGCGATAACAGGGCAGGGAAATCTCTTCGAAAGGGAAAACTCCCCATTCAACTCACTATGCCCTCATAAGTAGGCAACACTCTTTTTAAAACAGTTACAAGCAGTGCTAGAAAGCAGTGCTTATCAGCAGACACAGGAGACTCTCGCATAATTAGCTGCGAACTGTTTCCCTAACCCTTTGCCCTCCCTCCCCCCAACCGACCGGGAAACTTTCCAAGCCCTGAGTCCCAAAAAATGTTGACTTTTCCACTGATAAACAACAAAGGCGAAGAGTACACACACAAAAAATTGAAGCGACCCGAACGAAAACATGGAAAAACTTTTGCGGTTGACAAAACCGAAAGGAATAACAAAAGTTTTTGCAACCAAGTCGAAGACGACCCACATAAAAGTTGCCAACCAAGACGGGGCAACAAAACTCATATCTTTATGCCGGCCAACTATCGAACCGTGATCGTCTCCTTACACAGAAATAACTGAAAGTAAAATTTAAATTAAGGCAGTGGTCTGCTTTACAGACTTCAAAAAATCGATTTTTTTTTTTTTGTCTTAAATCTATTCCAAAACTATCCAAGAATATGTGTTCAAAATTTTAGAGGCCAATTCGACATATTTTCGAAGCTAGATCAGTTTTAGTGGCCGAGCGTCGAGCAGGTTCGTATGCTCGGGCAGACTTTACAGCCCGTTTTCTCGAGTTTTTATTTTCACAAGTCTTGGAAAACGGTGCCGGCCATAGTAAAAAAATATATGTCCGATCGAAAAAAACCAAAAGGATCTAGCTTCAGTATTGAATTATCTTCTATTTGAACTAAAAAAATGGATAAAAGTACTATTTAAATTACTTGTTTTGCAACTTAAAGTGAACTTTTTTTTCCAAAAAAACGAATTTTTTATTCAAACTTAGAAAAAATTGGAATTTCGTCATTTCTTCGGAATTTTTTTAGTTCATATAGAAAAGGAACTTATAAAAAGTAAAAAAAATTTGGTTCCACTGTTTCAGATGCATCGCACGAACTCCATCACCGGCACCGATTAACAAGTGCACACTCTAGGCGCCCCAGAAAAATCGTTACAACTTCCGCTAATTTCAATTATTTGCAATAATAAAAATTGTTTTTTAAAGTTTAAATATAATATTATATCGTCTCAAAATTTCGTTTACCGCAATCATTTCCTTCCCTTTCAAAAAAATTGTTGAAAAAACGCTCTTTTTTCGGCTCCTAAAGCAGACCACTGCCTTAAGGGCAGGGAACAAATATTAATAAACTAAATACTAAATAAATATTGAACAAATTATAATTTGAATTGCGTATTTTTCTCTAATTTTCTACAACAATTGGTTTAAATAAAGTTCATAACAAAATTAAATCATAATTACTTTAATTCTAAAATGAAGTATACGAAATTATTTAAACTTACCAAAAACTTATGTTTCGCTTTACCAAAAATGTCATTTTTTAGAGCCTACAAATATAAAATATTTAAAACTAAAAAATATCACAAAATATACAAAAACTGAAGAGAAATAAAATTTAAAAACAGACATAAATTACTTTTCACAAATTACTTTTCATTTGTTTCATACTCACAAAATACGTACTAATATAAATTTAATCATTTGAATTTCTCATTATTTTTTGTTGCTGTGTATGTGCTATCATAAAAGTGTTTGTGGATGTGTGTGTGCACTCGTATGTCTAGAGTTGATTTGATAATGTAACCAAAAGTTGAACAGCTTCAGTTGAGACCTCATTGGTCGACTTTTGCCAGCTTGAAGCACTCTCGTGGAATGTTCTTATTTAACGCCCTTCTTCTCTTGCTTTCATTTAACCAACAACGTCGACAATGCGCCACATGCCACAAAAACAGCCAATCCAACCTTATACGCGCACTATGTATTTAATACACTGGATCAGGATCACAGCGGCATTGTCAGCTTCGAGGTAAGTTTTTGATTCCCTTCCCGATTTTTGATTGTCTCCCATGCGGGAAAACCTCACTTACCAGCGGCGGAGGCATCCCATAATAAAACCAAAAAAAATATATTTTATCTGCGGCAGAAGAATCTATGTTTAAGGGGGAATACTCCCCTTTACCATTCTTATTCTCCTAAGTGATGGGGATATTTACTATGTTTAAAATTTAAGGATTATATAGTCAACAAAAATACTCGCTGAGTTAGAGTCAGGCAATTCTTTTTAAGATAAAATAAATGCCAAAGCTTCTGCCAAAGCAAAATGTAACTGAAATCAAATGAAATTGGCTTTCCCCTTAAATTTTATCATTTCTCCTTATAGAAAAGAAGTTATACTTGTATTTTCAAATTCCTTTCAATAAATGTATAATTAGGTAACAAAACGAAGCCATGGACCTAATGATATTCACAAAATCCATGTGAAAAGCAAAGAATCTGGCAATTCCAACCAATAAATATATTTCTTTCAGAACCAAATATTTCTTTTTGAGATAAAATAATTGCCAAAGCTTTTGTCACAGCAGAATTAAACTGAAATCAAATGAAAATGGTTTTTCCCTGAAAACAAATAATTCCGCTTGATAAAAAAAGGCATTCTTGTATTTTGAAAGTGCTTTCAATAAATTCAGCATTCGGTAACAAATCGAAGCCTTGGCCCTAATCATATTCCCAAATTCCATGTGAAAAGTGCCTTGTCGCCAGCATAGCTTTTCACTTCTTTGGACATCTTTCCGCTCCTTTCCCTTTCCTGCTTCCCCTTCTCCCGACGACAGTGTGCGACATCAAAGTATGGCCTGCGGCAAAGACGAGCATGAGAAATGCAATGGGAAGCATTTGAGCAGCTCATTTCCGATGTGTGTATGTGTGTGTTTTGGGTCCTCTGACCAGGTCGCCTCTTCTCAATCACCAATCACAATTCACAACTCAAGCGAGGAGCAACTAATGGAGTTCTACATTATGTGTGTGAGTGTGTGTGTGTGAGTGTGTGTGTGTGAGTGAGTGAGCGAGTGTGTGTGTGTGGGTCCTCGGGCGAAATTGCGATTTAGATTGGACCGCTGAGCTCTGGGAGGAAATTGAGAAATTGTCTTAGAAATCAACTTTCGTACAACAATTTGTGGCACTTGCTGCTGTCTGTCGGCGCCATTTGCAATTAAAGCGGACACAAGGCAACACAACCGCACTGGAGGCAAACATAAACCCTAATGGCCAACCATTTGCGGTGGCCTACACTGCGAGAAAATCACGAGTGATATTCTACAGCTGAATATAGCACAAAATAAACCAAATAAAAGAGCATAAATGTTAGTACTAATCAGCATATAGGAGAACAAATCTTTTTAATGGTTTATTTCTCTTAATGGCATGCCGTTCTCTCAGTGTACCTGTACGCCTTCTCCACAAGATAATATTGCATGCGTTCAAGGGCGTCGAAAGCTGAAAGCTGAGCAAAATTATGACCAACTACGAACTACATAATTGAGCGGAGAGCGAGAGTCCGAGGTTGCGGGGAAGTTTGTGATTGAATCGCTGCCGTTTATCGCTGGCTATCGTTATCGATAATTAATCTTGCCAATTGAACGAACAGGCAAGTGCGTAGGACTCGCAGGACTCACAGGACACGAGTACTCGGCCATCCAGGATCGGCAATTCAATTTAATTTACTCGCTGCGCCTCTTAATGTCCCTACGATGATGCGGCGCAAAGTGAAATTGTTGAGGTCACCCGGTGGGTGGGGGTTCCATGGGTGGTGTCCCCCCACCCGATTCCCAAAGGAGAAGGGGGTGGAGAGGGTCGTGGGCAGGTTGCCCAACAGACTTAAGTACAATGAAATTACTTTAGACATTTTAAGTATAAAATATGGCTGACAGCCGAGTCGAGTCGAGTTGAGTTGAGTTCAGTTCAGTTCAGTCGAGTTTTCTTTGCGTTGGTTTGGGATTGCGGCACAGCGCGGAAAAAACATTACTCTAATTGTTTATCAACTGTATTTCAAATTTGCTATACATTTTATTTCAACTATTTAAAATATTTTATTAAGATTGTTGATTGAACCAAGAAACCTTTGGTTTGTATGGTTAAATTTATTTTAAATGGCTCAACACATGGCACAATACATTTTTAATTTTTTCTTACTTATTGTACTTACAAAATTATTGGTTTTAATAAAAATAAAATTATTTGAATTCTCTTATTTCTTTTTATGACTTAATTAATTTGTTTACTTTTTTATTATAAATAATTACTTGTTCAATATAATTCATGAATTTCCTTAATTTATTGTACATTTAACATTTTTTTAACAATTATCAAAATTCTTGAAGTACTTTATATGATAATTAAGTAAACAAATAACATTTCTATATTAAGGTAATTTAAAACAAAATTATTCTCCTTTATTTTTTACTTTAAAGGGTGTGCTTTCCCATTAAAATACAAATAAAGCCTATTCTTCAGCTCCACTCCAAAACAATTACGCCACAGAAACAGGCGCCTAGTTTTTCGCAGTGCAGCTTAGGGGCAAAAGTTGTGTAGCACAGTGAGTTCCCAAATGAAGCTGATTTGGCTCAGAGGAATGGTAAAAGAGGGCTAAAAAGGGGGATGGCGCCAAATGACGCTGCAAAACGCCCCCGGGAAGCCAGCAACGAAAACAACAAGAACAACAACCATAAGAACAACATATAGAGGTGGCATGGGGCAAGTTGGGAGTCTGCTCGGCGTGGTAAGCGCCTTTAGTTACGGTTTATTAGTGACAGTGGCCAGAAGCCAGGAGCCGAGAACAAAGAGTGCCGCCAGATACAAAGATACAAAGATACATAGATGTTCCGCCGCTCTATTAACTGCCGCAGCACAAAAGTTCTAATACGCAAAGTACACACACTTGGAAGCCAAACCAACCCCCTTCCCCCTTCGCCCTTCCCCTTCACAACTCCCAGTCATTCCCCCCTCATTAAAGGACATTCAAGTTTCGGGTTGCACAAAGTGTTCGGTCACTGAAGAAGCCAAGTGAATTTGGAGCCAGAAAGGAAGTTGATTCCGGAAAGTAGAGGCAGTGGCTTCAAGCCCAAGAGGTTTGAGTTCAGGAATTGCTTAACTTTCATCATGGTATAATAATACTCTTATAGGCCAATTGCTAAATTTCTTAAGCTGATGACTTCAAATACACACAGAAGTATACACAGTAAAATAATATCTAGATTCGAAATTTATCTGATATTCGCAGAGAAGATTGATGTTTACATTAAATCAATATTTATACCATTCAATAACTTTTTATTAGTTCTACAATGTTTTTATTTTATTTTTACCCTTTTTTCTTTTGTCATTCATCTTTTGGTTTAACATTTCCAAACAAATCGTAATGATAAATCCCGTTTCATTACTAAGTTAATTCTAGTTTTATCAAAAAGTTAATCATTACCTACAGTTTTTCAGTTAGCTCATCAGAATCGAAGCAATGTAATTTTTTTAAATGAAAAAATCAATTGGTATTTGCCTTTAAAGAAAAATTAAAAAGCTAACGAGTTCACCAAGCATTACATCGGGAAAACTTCTGTATTCACTTGGATCTCACCCAACCTTAAGAAGCAAGAAACCAATTTTCCGGAGATTTTTGTGAAAGCTCCAATTAGATGCGGTTAGGAAAAATGTGAAATGTAATGGCAACCGCAGCGCATTCACAGCTTTTCCTTTGCGGCGGCTTCTGTTTGCTTCTTTCTGTCTTGTTCTTCTTGCTTTTTTTTTCGCTGGAGGGGAAAACGCTGCAGAGACGCGGAAAAATAATGCTCGAAATTCAGAAATCAAAGTGAAATGTCTCGAAATTGAAATAAAACGCTGGCGGCGAGGGGGAAATCTATATATTGCAGTTTCGCCGGCGCATTTGCGTGTTTTGTATTTCGTATTTCGTATTTTGCTGCTGTCGCCTGTCATTGTCAACGTTTCTATTGCAGCCGAATGCAGTTGTGGAATGCAAAACAAAGGCTACCGAAAAAAAAAACGAAAGCTGAAAGCTGAACAAAAACTGAATAAATTTTAGCGAATCGAGGCGGTCTGGTTGCTGCCACCCCGCGGTGCATGCAAATGGCGAATAATTCCTCTGCAGTTTATCCGAGTGTCTTGCGACTGCCCCGCAATGTCCGAACATGAACTCCACTTCCGGTTGTCAGAGGAGCCGCCCAGAGAACGGGTGACTCTATAAGCACACACACACACACACAAATACACACACAAACACAATGCCTGTGCAACGATGAATTATGGCGATTTTAACGCCAACTTTGTCAGTCCCTGAAATGGGGGAAATGGGGGAAAACAGGCGGGAAAGGCTACGGGGGAGAGTGGAAAATAGGAGTAGGCGAACCCAAGATACACAGCAAAAAGAAATGCCGGCGATGGCAGCTGGGCAAAAACGCAAAAACGCAAAGCCCAAGTCAAACAATGGGACAGAGTCCTGGGAAAAGAAAGGAAAAGCGGAAAAGTGGGAAAGAGCGGAGAGCGTGACACGGATGAAAACGCCTGGCATTTTCCACTAGCTTAGCCAAACACTACAAATTTCATTTGATAAAAATCCATTTGAATTCACACCCCTCATAAACTTTGCATGCAGAATAATAGGTTTTAAATTTAATGTTTGAGGGAATAAAGGAAAATAAATCATGGGATTTCATGCAAAACTAGTTTCGTTTGAATTGAAGTCCCTTATGAAATAATCATGAATATATGGTGTAAGAGAGATAAAAATAGTGTTTCTTAATTCTTCCTTTTAAGTACCTAGTTCTAATAATAATTAATAAATAATACAATAGACTTATTCAAACTGCTGCCGAGAAAACCTGCTGTAATTCTCATAAATATTCTCATAAGAAGACAGGTGGCGTAAAGTAGCACTTTACTTTTACCAGAACTCGAAAGCGAACTCACACAGCAATCAAAAATGCTCACCGCACGGAAAGTTGTTACATAAATAATTCATTGGATAATTTGCAGGCCTTCATTTTCATTCTCATTTATGAACGGTGAAGTGCAATTTACAAATCAATATTGCCGGCCAGTCGGCGTTGCATCCTCGAGTGTCTTCGGTGAGGAATAATCGCAATCACGTCAGCCGTCCATCTCTGAGCTCTTCCTCGCCATTTCCCCGGCACTTGCCCCGCTCGGAATCTCCTCGGAATTTTCCCAGCTTTCCCGACTTTCCCACCGCTGCTCCCCCTCGAACAGCTTATCTCTTGCCTTTTTGCCTGCTCGCCGTTTTCGTTGTTGAATAATGACCTCAAAATTGTAATGACTACGAGGCACGTACTCGATATAAAGCATGTACAAGGAGGGGTGCCTCCTTCGCCCAACCCCCCTCTGGCCACCCTTCTGGATGTCCCATCCCTTATCCTTTTACCACCCATCCAATGCCCTCTCACAAGCAAGCGGTAATTCCCTAGTTTTGTGTGTGACGGCCCGACTAAGTAGACTTCCGCTTTTCAATTAAGTTCCACATATTGTTGCAAGGTGTTTTATGCGCGATTTGCATGACAGTCGCGTTTATTAAACTGCCATCGAGAGTGGAGCGGCAGTGGGAGTACTACAATATAATGGCCGAGGGAAAACGCGGGCCAACGGCAAACCTGTCACGGCCATATTGAAATTGTGGGCAGGGCCAATATGCCACGGGTAAAATGCTAAAATGGTAAAATGGTAAAATGGCAAAGAGTGTGTGACCTGTTTACGCTGGCAGAAAAGATAAATTGCTCAAGTGTGCGAGATAAAAGGAATCGAGTGGCGGCGGCCGAGGGGAAATAAATATATAAAGACCCACAGTAGAGGGGACAATCAGGAGCAGGACTCCATGGCAACTGCGGAAAAAGGATTGGAAAAGGGCGCCCTTCGCTGGCAGTAAAGACAGTCGAGTAAAGCAACCAGGTTAACATGACACTTGAGTGCCAGCAGCAGTCACTTTGTTTTGATCACTTAAACAAACGCTGCGAGAAACACAAAAGCTATTAGCAACTTTATATTGTGGAAAATAGTCCTCCGCCCGTTCTCACTAGATGCCAGGAAAAAGATATCCACTTCAATGTTCGAAATAGGTTATCAATCAAGCAAAGACGTGTTGGACTAAAAAGTTCACTTATTTTATTTTTTAAAAAAATATATTTAAAATTAATGGGTAGTATAGTATGTACAAATATTTTACTAATATTGAAATGAAATATACCTAATGATACATAAATAATGACATGTACTTTATGGCTCTTCCTGAAAATCGTAGAAATCGGACAATCATATTATATAGCTGACAAAGAACCAATCATAAAAATAAGAAAGTTTATACAAAAATGTATAAAACATTGCTTTTTTTATAAATTTTTTTTCCAATTTTAGATGTAAGATTTAAGGTTTTTAACCAACAAGTACTTCAAGATGTGTGGTGTGAAAAATTTCATAACAGATTTCAACAGAAGACCATTATTCGGTTGATTCAAATGCATGGCCATAAGTTAGAGCATATTAAACCACTTCTCATCGCACTGCACTCCCACCAAGCAGTGCACTTCCCGTTTCAATCCACCCTCCCCTCAAGCAGTGCAGGCAAGTGGTCAGCAGGCAAAGAGAATCATAAATTCGCTTAATCACTCGGCCCGAGTGCAAACTTCACCCCAAACTCTCGATTTTGGGCAATTTGTCCACGTCGTGTCGTGAAAGTTTCTTGCTTTGTTTTCGGTGTAAAAAAGAGATGTGTAAAATCTTTTTTGCGATTCCATTTCGGTTTGATAAATTAGTCGGACGCTGCAATTGCCGAAATGGCCAGAGAACAGGACACAAATGACGCCACGGTTTTAGCTCCCGTTCTTATTTTCCATGGCCTCCTTAGAGCTTATACGTTCTATGCTTTTTACTTTTCTGATTTTTTTCTGGAATTCTGCCATCGGAGTTTCCCATTTCGGTATGCAAAAGCAAAAGCCGGAGTCCTTCGTCAGCTGCGGCCTTCCCAAAATACCTCAACACCTCCGGGAGAAAAAAAAATGGGGCTCGGGGGTCGTAAAACTTTCTCCTCTTCCCATTCTCCCTCCAAGTTCTTATCTAGGTACATTTGTCATACAAAGCATAGAAATAAATGTCCACTTCAGCGGCGGCAGGAAGTGAGGACTGTGGGCTTTCAAGGGCGGTGCGGTGTGGTAACTACAGTCGAGGGAAAAGTAATATTGCCTTCCCTTATGCCAAAAAATTACTTTATAAAATTTACCTCTTTGTGAAAATAATACTTAATACTACAACTTGTAGAGAGAAATAACTTCTTTCTCATTTAACACTGCTTTAAAATTATGTTTTTCAAAATGATGTTTCAATTAGCATTTCTCGTTAAGAAGAATATTTAATTTAATTGTGATGTTCTACCAATTTGTTTTTGTTTTTAAATGGGTTGGATTGCAACGCAACTGATGTGATATTCAATATGTATAGGAGAGGAAATAAACATTTTCCAAGTTAATATAACATTTACTGAGTATTCTAAACATTTTCTGCATATAGTCTCGTTAAATGCATAAATATAAGTGCTAGGACATAGGAAAATTAATAAACATTAAAAGAGTATATCGAAATATTTCTCAACCCATATTGGTTAAGCTGCTACCAAAATCCCAACCAGCTCCAATTAATTAATTATATAAATTAAAATAAAGAGAATTACACAAAATATAGAGAAAGAAATAATAATTATTGAAGTTCATGAAACATTTCCTCACCCCATAACTATTATGTTGACCGCCGCTGTACTTTCGTTTCTTCTAGCCACTGCGGTTTACGAGCAATTTCTTAAAACATATTTTCAATTTCTTTTATACCTGTAATTCCGGGTGTCTGCCTTGGTCTTCGCCTCCGCTTTTCCCTCTTCCCCTTCTCCTTCCCCCCGAGAAGAATCTCCCCATTCATGGCAACTTATTTCTCTTCCTGTCACAGGACTTCGTTCAAGGACTCTCGATACTGTCGCGCGGCTCCGTGGAGGAGAAGCTGCGCTGGACCTTCTCGCTGTACGACATCAACGGCGACGGCTTCATTACGAGGGAGGAAATGACTGACATTGTAACTGCCATATACGAGCTGATGGGCCGACTGCCCGACGAGTGTCCCGAGGAGGAGAAGATCAAGGGCAAGGTGGAGCAGATATTCCAGGTGAGTTCGGTCGGAGTCATGGGAAGCTCCTTCGCATCCCCAAAATCCTGGACAATTCGCGACCATTACTTATGCTAATTACGCGCGTACAATTTGAATTTGACTCGCGAACATGAAACTTATTTACTTTGCATTATGTAAATTCAAATTGTCTATTTCAATTTGCCGGCCAGCAACTCAGTCTCTGGCATTTTGTGCGAGGAGTGCGGGAGTGGGTGGGCAGTATTCCTTCCGCAGGACATTGTCCTGTTTGGCTTGCCAGTCACGCGTTGTCATTAGCGGTCGTTGGCATTCGGAATAAATTGAGCGCAGCAAATGCGACCGGCGAAAGCCCCTAAATAATGGCATGCGAGAGTGAATTCGATGATAGATGGCCAGGATCAGACACGCTCCGTTCCGAGAGTTCTCCTCTTGTTCTGCTGTCCGCTCTGCTGTCCTAAATCGCAAATTCCATAGCTCGCTTTCGGGCGGCGGAAGCGGAAGTAGTGCGTCAAGCAGTGCCAATGGCAAGCAGCTCGCCGTCAGCACTCCGCAAGCTGTTGCTTCTGTTTTATGGAGACCTCAAAGCAAATGATTTAAATTCAGCAGATGAAATAACTATTAAGCCTTTAAAAACCAATGAAACCACAAAAATATTGGTTCAATTCATTTAACAAAATATATTTATCATATAGCATCAACATTAAAACCATATTTAAATACAAACCGACCATTAGTAAACACCACTTTGTCCAGTTTGTCCTATGAAGTTGTCATGAAATCACTTTCGATCGCATGCTTGGGGGCATTTAAACAGCAAACATTGGCGAACAAAAAGCTTTACCGTGTTGCTCATATATGCACGTATGCCTTTTCCATTCTCCCCACAGAAAATGGACACCAATCGCGATGGCGTGGTCACGCTGGAGGAGTTCCTGGAGGCCTGTCGCAACGACGACGCCATCTCCCGGTCGATGTCCGTGTTCGACACAGCGTTCTGACCATATCCCACGGACAAGGGCGATGAGTACACGGTGCCCCGGCGGCGGCGACCCCAGCAGCAGCAGCAACACCAGAAGCAGCAAAAGCAAAAGCAGCAACATCATCAGCAGGAGCAAGATAAACGTAAGTCCAACCACAAGACGAAGACGAACAAGCAACAGCAACAGCAACAGCAACAGCAAACACAGCAGCAACCACATAGCACTAGACATCGAAACTGTTGTCATATAATCGACATGGACGGCGACAGCACCACCAGCACCACCACCGCCTCGGCGGCCACCGGAACCACACTCAATTGCAATGTTCTGGGCAGGAGTGCCCATCGACGCGGTGACTACGGTGAAGTGGATCAGGCGGAGGAGGAGGCGGAGGATGAGGATGGGGAGGAGGAGGATCAGGATTCCGAGGATTCCGAGAGCGAGTACCGCTCCTTTGTCTGCCGCCACTGCCAAAGGCCGCAATCGGTGGGGATGCCACGTTCCAGCCACCGATCGCATTCGCAATCGAAGTCGCATTCGCATTCGCATTCGCAATCGAGATCGCAGTCACGCAAGCGCAGCAAGAGCAGGAGGCGCCACCAGAGCAGCAGCCACCGGCAGATGCAGCAGCACCTGCAACGCTGGCCGGAGATCAATGTGGCCAACGAGCAGGCGATCCGCTTCCGGTGTCCGCAGGTGGGGCCGCAGGTGGGTCGCGACCTCCACACGCCGCAGCCCATGCACTTCCACCATCCCCAGTCGCAGAGCCACCAGAACCAGAACCAGAGCCACCATCCCCAGAAGGTCAGGAGCAGGTCCGCCCGTCCGCGGAAGGTTCGCTCGGGAAATCAAGCAGCACCACCCACAACCACCACCACCGCCGACACCACCGGCACATCCGCCACCTTTGCCACGTCCGCACCACCCGCGCCGCCAGCTGAGCCACCGCGGCCGCCCTCCTCCCCTCACCCCCTCCCGCCGCTCAACGTGATTGTGGGCGGGGCCGAGGGCGGTAGCGGTGGCGGTGGCGGTGGCGGTGGTGAAGGCGATCCACAGCACCCACAGCCGCCCACCACCCCCGACTCGCCATCGCTGGTCACCGTGAGCACCTGGTACACGGTGGCCAAGCAGGGTGTCTCCTGCTAATCGCGGCGAGCAGTGAGTATCCTTGCCACCCAACCATGAACCACCCAACCACCCACCCCCCAACCACCCAACCACCAGCCACTCAACCACCTTGCACCCCAATCGAAATCCCTTGAAAAGCGGACAAGCCACTGAAATCCCTAGAGGTTTGAATCCGCCTAAAAAGGCGCCTGAAAGTATGCCCCAAAAAATATTATACTGTTTTTTGACATCCTTGGGACTTCCGAGCTCAAAACAATCTTCAAGGGTTCTCAAATCTCTAGAGATTTCTGTGCAGCCCACGAATATCTCCAGATACCTTAAGTCTTAAGTCTCCAGAGGTTTCTGTGGCACCGCTGACAAAAAAAAAAAACGCTTCCCCGATTCCGTGTTTGAATATATGTACACAGTACTTTGTGCTTATATGAATTATATATGTGTGTGTTTCAGGGTGAATCTCTGGGTCTTCAAAATTTGCATTGTCAAATATAGTTTAAAAAATTACAAAAAGAAATATTGAAAATTTGAAAACCAAATTTTCGTAAATTGATTTAAATCTTCCTCTATATTTTTTCAAAATATTAAACTCTTACTTATTTCAACAAGAAACAAGCAAATAATTCCAAATAATACGACTTAAGAGATTGGAAATCAAAGCCGAGATCCACCCTTCTGTATTTGTGCATTAAGTTTCCGATTTACCTACTATTTGTACTGTAATTAGCCAAATAATGTTTAAAACGTTTTCTGTGTGTATTGATTGATGTTGCAAACTGTCAAATGTGTTATAGTCTTAAATACATATAAATCTATAGAAAATGTAAGTGGAGATGAACCAAAAAGGAAATACATGAAAACCATGCAAACGTTTACCTTATGTTTCTTGAAATAATTTGTTGGTGGCCAGAGAAGTCTTCTTAGAAATTTCGTTAGATATCCTAGAGTTACATAAATTGACGTTAGCTGTGATGGAAAAACAAAGTATATTAAAGCAAAAAACTTTAAATATGTTAATTGTAAAAACGTGGCGGGTAACAAAGAAAATCTGTGGGAGGATATTGCTCAAAAAAGAAATTGTTTTTATGTCATAAACCGAAAGTGCGTGGGTGTGTTTTGGATGTGTGTGTGCATCGGAAGAAGAAGAGAGAAAGTCCTGCAAAAGTTCAAATTTAATTGATTTCAAAGCCCCAATTTAACGCTTTTATTATCCCGTTGAAACAAAAATTTCAGTTGCTGTCGTTGCGTTAATTAATTTCGGAATTCGCTGTATTCAGAAATCATGTTACAAAAAACTCATATGCAGATTAATGAACAGACCAATTTTAGCCCATAAAATAGTTCGCTTTTACAAAAACCCCAATGTGATCAAAATGCAAATTGAATGCCAAATTCGCCTGTCCCAAAAAAACAAAAAAGCGAAATATAAACACACTGTGGGGAAAGAAAAAACTAATAGTTTTCTATTAATTGACAGCAGCTTTCCATTTTATTTGGTAAATGTAAATGGCTGGCATTAAATTTTCCTGCATTTGCATTGTTTCACATTGAAATTCTCGTTCTTCAAACTGTTTGTTTGAAGTTTGCTGAGCGTTAACTTTTTGCTAACTGTTATGGCTTGACATGCTTTTGTTGTTGTTTTCATTGTGCCACATTGGACACACCAAGGAGACACACGCACACATGCACACACAGTCACACGCACACATGCAAGTCAAAATAAACAAGGATGAAAACGCATGGAAATTGAAATTCGTGTATGGCAATTAAAATATCTGCTTTCTTTCTCTCCCCTTCTCTTTCTCTCTCTCTTTTCTCTCTTTCTTTCTTTCTATCTCTTCTCTCTCTTACCTTGCCCTGCACACACACACACACGCTTAAATAAACACCCACACACGTGCAGAAATTTGCATAGAAACTAAATGAAATGCGAAGCGAGAAAGACGACGCGAATCTGCCAAAATAAAAATCTAGGTACCGCATGCCCATAAATATGCAATTATGGATATGTTTGTGCAACTGTAAAAATACCGAATAAAGTGTGCAAAAATTGAAAGGTTCGGCGACAACTCGATTTTATCGGCACAATTGGCTGAAGTCGCATTTAAAGAGCCAAAAATCGCACCAGAGTTCTCAATCGTAAGTACGAAGTGGCTCCGGAAGTGCCACTGCTTGCCCCTCCCCCCAAAGAGATTGTCAGTGTGTGAGTGCACACGAACACAAACTCTCACACAAGCATACCCTATTGAAAATTGAATATGGAAAATTGAAAATGAAAATGAAAATGAAAATTGAAAATGTACGAAACGAAAGCTTTACACAATGAAACTAAAACTAAAAACTAAAAACTAAAAACTTACTCTTAACAATTTAATGAGAAACAAAAATATAGAGAGAAATAAAATTAAACAGAAACTATATTTATACGAAAAGGTAATAGAAAGGAAAAATACTAATAACACTTAATTGGAACCAGTTTGACTTTCTATTCGAAATATATGTCAACACACACACACACACACAGACGTGACACACACACTAACACACACATGCAGACAAGTAAATATCTCTAGGTAATAAATGTGTAAATCAAAATAATAGCCACAAATGCAAATACAACGGCAAAGGCGAATGAAGAAATGCTCCCCGGGGCGTATGCGTAATGTTGAGTGTATTGTTTCTGCGCATTGTTGTTGCCATACGAATATATTCTCCATTAGCAAATTAATGACAGTGATGGAATGTCATCTGGCCATGGGTGTACTATACTATACTATAGTAAAGAAATCTGGTGTGTGTGCCTGTTGTGCGTGCAAGTGTGCAAGCTAAATCAAATGAAAACCATTGTTTGAATCAGAAATTGGACCACAGCAAACAAAGAGTAGCATAAACCGATATCCGCTGTATATGCATATTATATTTACATACATATAGACGAAATATATATAGATAAAAGAATGAAAATGAAAAGAATATATATATACATATATATATATATAAAGCATACAGTATTTATCATGTGCATAGGTGTGTAACTGTAATTTTTTGTAGCTAGAACTAAGGGACACACAGAAGAAAATAATGAAAGTACTATTAGAAATAGATAATTGGAAATAAAAACTGGTTAATTGGTCATCTCGTTGTACATAGTTAGTGAGTGGTTTTTTCGCCGTTAAACCAACTACAAATCTCTTCTCTATATTAACTCTAAACTCAAAGTAATTGTTGCATTTTTAAACCCTATAAATACATAGCTGTGTACTTAGCTGTAGTCTTCCAGAAGTAACCGAAATAACGAACCGAGAACCGAAAACTTGAAAACCGAAAACGGAGAATCGAGAAGCTGATGAGAACTCTATTCCACTTAGATTGAACCTGTAGCAAATTTGTACCTTAGCCGAAACACCCACAAAGCTTTCCAAAAAACAATAAAAACTTCTTCTTAATAGTCGAAAGACCGAGTCCAAGAAACAAAAACCAAAAACCATATACGAAACTGTTGCTGTCGTAGTCTAGGAACTACAACTATTGTATTATTTTTGGATAAATGTTATCGATTTTCTGACCCTTCCAGGGTTATTCAATGTTAGGTCCTTCGAACTATTGGTTTCCCACTAAGCATGCGTAGTTATACGATCGATCCGATCGATCCGATCGATCCGATTAATCTGTTTATCGATCAGATTATCGATGCGCGACAATATCGAACAGGAGTACAGTAACATACATATATAATATCCTCCCACCCCAAACTAACACACACACACACTTCCTGTCTCTCTCTCTCTCTCTATCTCTCTCTACTTATCTGTGCATCTGTGTGTGAATTAGCAATCAAGCACGATCACAAATGCAAACACAAAATCTATTTCGAAAACAAAGTGTCAAATTTTCAAGAGAAACATAACGAGAACAGAACCGAATGAAAATGAAATGTTGGCAAATTGACAGAAACAGAAGCAGAAACAAGCGAAAAATTGATAAATTGGAGGATTGCCAACCTAGTTGCGAGTATTTTCCAGGCCTAAGCCTTAAAGATTACCGAAATGCAAATATGTAATTGTAAACACAAACAACAAAAAAGATATATGCATATAGAGTCTGTGTTTTTCCTAATTTATAAGCTGTTGAAATCAAATTTTACCAAAGAAGAAACGAAAGTAAGTATTGACAAACGTATGACAAACAAAATCTCGTTTTAGAGAACCTCTTCGACTTTCAGTTGTTAATTGTATAAACTGTATTAGCCATTTATTTGTGAGCGCTATACTACTTACTATGATGAGATGATGAGAAAATGAGCAGAAATGAGCAGAAAATACATGTCATAGCATAGGCCTAAGTGCGACATTTATTGGGGGACTCCGGAAGGCCTGCGGAAGTACGATATGGTACTTGTGCTCGTATATCAAAAACCGAATTGTTATCGGACGAACGACGTTTTTAAACCACTAAGGCAATTTGCAGTGTTATCAATCGATCGATGTACATCTTCTGGGCCAAACGATTGAGCCACGTTACAAACAAAACAAAAAAACCAAAACCAAAAAAGAAAACCAATTACAAATTGATTAACTTACGAGTATATACGAAAATATACTTATGTACTAGTCGTAAACATAGCTGATCTTTTTTGGTGTAAATTTTAAATGATAAAACCAAACGAACAAACTTTCCATGCAATAAAAACAAACACATTGTTTCAAAACTAAAATGTCGTTTAAATGCAGAACTGCATGAACCAAAAACCAAAATGAAAACACTTAATTAAAAGAACAAATATTTTTTTTGTGAAGTTAAATTATGTATAAAACAAAAATAAAAGATATAAAGTAAAATAAAAACCAAATGAAAAATACAAAATCACTGAGTATATTTTATTGGAACAGAATATTCGCAAGTTATGTCGCCAAAAAAGGTTTGCAGTGAAAAAAAAGTTTTAAGTTTTGTCTAAAAGTTTTGATCTGTATTTTTTGCAGTGCAATTTTTAGATATATGGTTTATGGTCTTATGATTCCGGTTAATATTTAAGCTGGGACACATTGAATGGAATTATTGGAAAGCCCTTTTAAGTTATTAAATTTCTCTTTTTTTACAATTATTTATACGTACAGCTACTCAAATATAAACACATTTAATTTTATTTACGCACACGTATTACACTTCTCAAATCTAAACATATTTAATTGCGAATAAATATTGAAAATCGTGCAGATGAGTGTATTTACCAGTGGCGCATTTACTTTGTGCAGGACAATAAACAATTTTTGACAAAAAAAGGAAGCAGCAAACTCTGTTTTACAAATAGTGTACACACTTCTTTTTATGCCGGATTTCTTCTCAGTTTGTTAAAAGCATTTCACCAAAATATAATATATAAATAAATATTTCAAAAAACAAAATCAGCAATTACCTTCAACGAAATTTCTATATTTAATTATTTTTTAAGGTGCCAACCACCAAGAAAGGAAACCTTGGTCTAATTCAAAGTCTAATTAGTAAACGATGAAGTGTCAGAATCGATGTAACACTTATGGGCATCCACACATTGTTTGGGAGAGCACACCCCGTTCTCCGCAGATTTATGGGGGTCAAAGGTCCTGGCCGGATGGACAAGGCTAAGTGGAAAAGTTGGCCGATGCATGCAAAATGCAGCCGAGCGGCTAATGGATTCGCAGTGGCGCATTTGTATGCCGATCAGAGCGGGAAATTAATACGGAATTAGCTGGACGTATATGTAGATGTGGACGTAGATGTGGATGGCTAGGGGCTTCGAATCGAAGAACCTTTGACCATCCACGTCGTGCAATTATAATGCGGTTGGGCAAACGGGCACGCACAAGGAAACCCACTTAATTGTTATATAAAAAATT